ACTAAAAAACACCGTTTTGTTGAATATAGCAAGGTCAAGATACCAGCTGTCAACAAGTTCATAGATTGAACAATAGAAGTTAACTGCCACAAACTCCCAATTTTACAAAGAGAAAAAAAATCTGCCTCAAAGTTAATTAAATGTGAAAGCCCAAAACTGTCAAAATACAGAAACTGATTTTGTTTCTGTTTGAAAAAAAAAAAAAATCTTTCTGTAAACAATAAGGTAGGAAGATACAATTATTGCTTTATGAAACTTAGTAGAATATGTTTTAAGGAATATGAAAATATTCCTAAAAAATTAAAATGAACTAATATTTTTATCCATTGCATTTATTCTTTCCTTTTTTATAACAATTTAGCATTTATTATGCATATCTTTTTTAACTATTTCATAAAAAGTTTATAAGAAAGTAATATAAAATAATTAAAAGATGACTATAAAAATTTTTTTTAAAATATATATAAAATAACTGTAAAAAAAATAATAAAAGAACAGAAATTAAGACAGAAAATTACAATTGAGATTGCATTTAAATTTTGGAAGATCAAATTTGACTGGAAAGCAAGTAGCCAGGAGAGAGTTCCACAAGTGAGAAGTGCAAGAAAAGAAACTGTTATCATAAAACTTATGATCACATCTAGCCATTTCAACTGTAAAATGATGTGATCTTACCATTAACCTAGTACTAAATTCATAAAGTCCAGCTACCATACTGGAAAGACCATGAGAACAATTATCATGAAAGTACTTATAGAAAAGTCACAGGGAAGCTACATTATGGTGGTAGGAAAGTAACTGAAGCCAAGATACCAAGTCAGGACCAATAACATTGCAGATTCTTCTTTGGATTTTATAAAGAATCTCTAAATATATAGCAGGATCACCTGACCAGATTTGGCAGCAATATTCAAAATACAGACACATGGTAGACTTATAAATATGTAAGACAGATTTTCCTTTTGAAGGAAAATATATTAAAAGCCCATCATTTTTTTTATTATTATGGTTGTTCACCCAATACAAGGCCTAAGTGCCACTCAAAGAGTTACTGAATGGAGATGTTGTAGGGCATAAGGGGAAGCAAGAGTTGGATATTATGTGGATATATAGGAAAGATAATGGTTGACCCTTAACTTGAAGAGGTTAAGAGTGTAGTGATCAGATAAGTGTTGTGTAGAAAGATGACAGGCCTTCTCTACACTAATGGTTGTATACAGACTCATCTGCTCATATGAACAGTTGCCATAAAGAGGGTTGTACATATTGGTACACTAACTATAGTAGCCACTATTATTGCATTATTAATCCATGTGATTAAATGCTTTCTTCACTAATCTTTTGTTCTAATGTTTTCCTTAGAATACAGAGTGCAACTGATATATTGTCATCTAAATTACACAAAAATGAAAATAATACTGACATCTCATTTTAACAAGTATATTTACCAAAAGTACACAAAAATATCTTGAAATACTAAAGAGTAAATTTATTCAATAAAATCACCATTGGCTTCAACCATGGCCTCCAGCCGACCGGAATCTCCTGCAACTCTTCTAAACGGTCTGCTTGTTTAAATTGGTGAATGATGCCATAATCCTTGCCTTTAGTTCATCTTTGATATTACAAGGAATTTTACTGGTCTCTCACTCAAATGTGCCCTAAACATAATAATCAAGGGGGTTGCAGTCTGGGGAGCTAAGTGGCCAGATGTAAGGGGGGGATGTGGTCACAGAAATTGTCTGACTGCCATGACTAGGTTCTTCTGCTTGTATGGCATGGTGCAGAGTCCTGTTGCCAAACATAGGGTCTTCCAGCAGCACTATCTCCTCAAAGCACTTGATGTGGGCCTCAGTGTCTGTCACCAATAAATTAGGAGTTCTTTTCTTATCAGAATAAGTTTTCTGAGCTGCCATACCTTCGTAATCAACATTAGACTCACCCAACTCTTTCCAAATACTCTGCATTGTGCTCAGATTGACACTAAAACACTCTGAAATGTTTGTGCTGAAGTTTCTGGTATGAATGAATGCCAAGCAGTGCAGCATGCTGTTTCCAAATTTCTGGAAGTGTGAATTGCATCATGATGGTCTTTTTCTCACAGACGGTGCCCAATTAACCCTACTATACTGTGCAGCTGACAAAATCAAAAACAATGTGCATGTTTGAAATTAAAAATATAAAATGGCGACAATTAACCCATCGCACCCTGTATTATAAGTTAGAACTATGAGCATTCGAACAGGAAGCATTTCGTCAGGTGTCTGTGCCACATTGCAACAGTTTTGACATAGAAGTTGTCAGAGTGGACCTTGCTTTTTACAGATGGAATATAAAAGGAATGAGAATTAATCAACTCGGTTCTAGCTGTGAAGGTCTGAACTGGTAGAACCAATGAATGTAGTTTTCCTAAATATCTGTCATAATGTGAAGAAAGAACTTGTAACATCAAAATCAGCAAAGTTTGAATATCGCAAGCAGAATATTCTTTAAGTAAACAAATATATAACTGACTTTCTCTCATCTGGGATCTTGAATGCTGTGAGAAGACAGATTTCTGAAAGAGCACACACCCACATGGAACAAATAAATGATTGAAAATATTTTTTGTATGAAGAAAATGTTTAGGATAAAAATAAAATGTTTCAGGAGAGTAAAAAGTATTTAAAAAAAAAAAAATGAAAAAGACGAGAGAGAGAGAGAGAGAGAGAGAAAATAACAATAAATGTAAATAGAAAATATTTAAGAAATAAAATTAGAGTGAAATTATATCAAAATTGGATTATTCTTATATTTTGTCAAGAGAATTTCCAATAGCAAAACAGAAGATCTGGCTACACTAGAATCATTAATCTATTTTAAGGCATGTGGGGGGAGGCTGAAAAGTTCTTGACCTGGGTAAGAATGTATTTTTTTTTTAAATCTAATACTTGACCATTTGGTCAATTTTTAGAAAATAGATCAAGAGTTGAACTTTTCAGTACCCAGCACCACCAAAAAAAAAAAAAAAAAAAAAAAAAAAAAAAAAAAAAAAAGAACAAAAATCCAAACACTGTAATGAAAATTATCAATAACAAAATTATTTTTTTTACTTATTTTACAAATGGCAGTTCTAATGATTAACTGTTTAATATATAAATGGTGTTTCACCTCTCTAATCATCTAAATTTTTTTTTTCATCTTATCGTATAAACATGGAAGAGTTATGATTTTGTTTACTTCGGTTGTTTAATTGCACATCAACTCCTTACAGGTCATTTAATACCATTTTTTTTTCAAAAAATGTATTGCTGGTATTTCTTTCCCTCCAATAATGTATTGTTGGTAATCTTTTTTTCTTTTTAACTATGAAAATGTATTGCTGGCAATTTTTTCTAATGTATTTTTATATTTTCATATTTTGACACTAGTTTGAGGGTTCACTATTTGTTCATAACTGAGACATTAACAGGTGCTACCGCCCCCCCCCCCATTCAGGGTGGACTTGGAAACAACAGCAATTAAGAATCCTTAACACAATTTCAGTTTTGCCATTTTATATAACATATGCAAATTATGAAGGTAAAAAATGACTAATTTTCTCAATTTTAAGAGGGGTTCAGTTTGCTATGTAAATTAATTCTAGCTTGATCCCTGCCTTCCACAATTCAAAAGAATAAATATGCTTATACCATGTGATAAAGCAGATTCTTACTTACCTTTTCTCTTTTTTATTATTATTATTTTTGTGTATTTTATGTTTCCTGCTTTGTAGCCTGTAGAGCCAGGTCTGAACTATAGGCCTTAGACCCTATAGGGTAATTGTCATTTAATTGATAGCACTTTTCTTAGTATATGGCATGTTCCTAGTAGGGCGATCTTCTGAGCAACTTGCATGTTGATGTTACCTGGGACAGTGTTAGTAAAACTGTCCATTCCTTTTCTCACGAGGACCAGAGCTCCAATTATTATTGGTACAGTCTCAGTCTTCATTCCCCACATTCTGTTAATCTCAAGTCCTTGTATTTGCACAATTTCTTGATAATTTTCATGGAGGTGTTTCTCTAAGATGGTACTGCTATGTCAATAAGCATACATTTCTTGAATTTCTTGTCTTTTATGACATCAGGTCTGTTGGCTTTTATTTCCCTGTCAGTTTGAATTGGCATGTCCCAGAGGATAATTACATTGTTATTTTTGGTAACTGTGTCTGGTTGGTACTCATACCATCTCTCAGTGGTTTTGATTTTATGCTTCTTGCATATCTTCCAGTGCACATATGTCACTATCTTGTTATGTCTGAGGTCATATTCATTTTTTGTTTTTTGCTAGTTCCGGACATCCTGAGATAATATGGTTGATAGTTTCATCATATTTCAGCAAATCGTGCATTTCGGGTTAGTTCCATCCTTGATTATGTAACACTGATAGGATCTGGTTGTGAGGCTTTGGTCCTGAGACTGCAATAATTAGGCCTTCTTTCTCAGTTTCCAAACTGGTGTACCTCAACCACTGATGTGTTTTCTGTTGGTCTGAATCTACTTCTTTCATTCTTTTTATGTATTTACCATGCAATGCCGCCTTCTAGTATTTTTGGTATTTGGTTTGGCCAAGTTGTTTTGCTTTCTGTTTTACTTGTTTGGCATAGATTGGTATCTGCTTTGTTTTTTTGTTGGTAGGTTTTTCAGGTATATTAAGCTGTTTCTTGAAGAGCACAACTTCTTCATTAATGGAGTGGATTTGGTGTTTTACTATTTTTAGGAGAGGGTCATTGGTTTTGTGAGGTTTGCTTCCAATCCGATTGTTGTAGTTTTTAGAGTTAGTTCAATTTAGATTAGACCTCGGACTATGTCTCACTTAGGCTACTTGCTATGACATCACTAGAAATTCTCCTCAACTAATTCCAATGGATTTCCTCTGACTTTTTTTTATTTGAGGCGTCTTGCCGAGTCCATTTTGTGTTACCAGGGATGTCTTATTTACTTCACAACACGACAGTGTGTAACAGTTTGTCATCGTTTATGGCCACATCACATTGAAACACCAGTTCCTGTACAATCACTGAAGTTAAGCAATGTTGAGTCTGGTCAGTACCTAGATGGGTGACCACTTGAGAATACCAGGTATTGTAAGCTGGGATGTGCAGATGGTGTAATGGATAATGATTTGGATTTGTTAATCCGAGAGCTGAGTTCCAATTCCAGTCAGGTTCATTATATTCATTTACGTGCAAATAACCTTGGCAAAGGTATGAATCCATCTCTTCTCTCCCCAGCTATAAGTTAATTAGTTAGGCTTGTATCACTAAACCATTATTATCTTTAAAAAGAAAAAAAAAAAAAAGAAAAGCATAATAAAATTGCATCCAAAATATTTAGATTTTGGTATTAAGTAACCCATAGTGCTAAAGAAAACCAACCAACATTTTTGGCATTATTAAAATTCTAAACATTGCATTTTAAAACAAACCTTGCTGAAGGAGTGAAGGTAGTATTCTAGTGATGCCAAGAGAAAAGAATGTCCTTTGAATATACCATTTTTTTTGTGGCACTGAAAGTTAAAATTCGCCAACTATACTTTTTGTATGTGTTAAACATTTTGAGTTTTTTTTTTTTTTTAAAACCTACCTTTGGAAATTTCAGACTGGAAGGATTTCTTTACAAGCAGACTGCATAAAATTGATCAATTCAGAATTGCTTCTGGTGTGTGTCTGCATGTGTCTTCTGTAATTTGAACTTTGAGAAAATTGTGCACCACACACTTTACAAGTGAAAGGTTTTTCACCAGTGTGTTTTGACGTATGTTTTTTCAAATTGGATATATCTGAAAATTCCAACCCACACATCTCACAGAGAAATGGTTTTTCTCCTGTGTGTATTTGCATGTGTTTTCTCAAATTTGCATTTTCTGAAAACTGAGTCCCACATATGTCACAATGAAATGGTTTCTCCCCAATGTGGCTTTGTATATGTCTTCCTAAATTAGATTCTTTTAAAAATTTTGCCCCACAAATTTCACATTGGAATGGTCTTTCGCCTGTGTGAGTCAGTATATGTTTTTTCAAATCTGAGTTTTCTGAAAATTTCAGCCCACATAAATCACAAGTGAATGGTTTTTCTCCCGTGTGAGTCCGAATGTGTCTTTTCAAAGTTGAACTTCGTGAGAATTTTGAGCCACATATTTCACAGTTGAATGGTTTTTCTCCAGTGTGTGCTCGAATATGTTTAATCAAATCTGAATTTTGAGAAAATTTTGCTTCACATGTCTCACACTTGAATGGTTTTTCTCCAGTATGTGTTCGTGTGTGTTTCGTCAAATCTGAATTTTGAGAAAATTTCGAGCCACATGTATCACACTGGAACAGTTTCTCCCCCGTGTGCATTTGTGTGTGTCTAATCAAGCTTGAATTCTGTGTAAACTTTGACCCGCATATTTCACAGCAGTAGGGTTTTTCTCCAGTGTGTGTTCGCATATGTATTGTTAACTGAGAGTTAGAAGCACATCCTTTCTGACATACATTACAACAAACAGTTTTTTTTCTGTTAATAGAAGAGGAATGAGAATTCTTATTGTCAGTGTGAATAGCTTTTGTTGTTTCCATTATTTTGTATACAAGTAAATTAAGATTTGTGCAGATAACCCAATGTTTCTGTTTTTCTGAGAAACTTCTACATTATTTTTCTCTGATTTAAAGTACAGGGTGTTCTGAAAGTCTTGTCACCCCCCCAACATAATATAATTTTCTATTTCAGATGGCTGGCACAAGCTCCTACAGCTTGAAAGTGAGGTAGGAAGTGACAAGACTTCCGGACCACCCTGTACATAAAGTTAATAAAAAAAGAAACCCTTATCAGAATTATCGTTTTATAATCAAGTAATAAAAAAATAATTATTCTGTGTGCATGAGGGAAGGGGTTAATACAGGGTGGTCTGAAAGTCTTGTCACACCAACATAATATATTTTTTTTTATTTCAGATGGCTGACGTGGGCTCCTACAGTTTGGAAGAGAGGAAGGGGACAACAAGACTTTCGGACCACCCTCTAGATAATCATTATCTGCCTTACCAAAATTTTGAAGGACAATATTTAACCTTTTAGAATCAAATAATAAAAAATAATAAAAATAATAATCGCAAGGGGGCAGGAAAACTACACAGGGGTTCAAAAGTCTTGTCACCCCCTATATAATATACTTTTCTATTTCAGATGGCTGACACAAGCTTCTACAGTTAGGAAGAGAAGTAGGAGGTGATAAGACTTTTGGACCACCCTGTAGTTTCTTCAAGAAGCCTTGTTCTTTTATAAGTCTTGCCATTTATAACTTGAACCCAATAAAACTTGTAATGTTATTCTTACAGTCTTTTTTAATATACACCTTTATATAATTCAAATAGGGTAACCATTCTTTGATTATGACTTCCCAATTCCATTCAGTAATATTTGATTCAATCTGAAAAGAAAGAAAAGAATAATTCCATTTAATTCTCTTGTCAGCTGATCAGCAGAATATGGCAGCAACTCTTATTTCATTTCATGAAACAGTTTTAGATATTTTTGTAAAGAAACAAAAAAAAAAAGAAGAAATTTGTACAAATCCGTTTTTATATCATGGAGCTTTAGTAGATTCGCTGTGAATATGTAGTATTTTTGTAAATGTTGAATTGGGTGAAGATGAATGGGCCGTTTTGGTGATTGAATCAATTGTAATAATGAATAGGTTGTAAATAAGATTAGCTAGGTGTAGGAGAGTCAGTGATGACCAACCTTTCCCCACTTCCCCTTTAGCCTTGTGCTACATGAAATGTACTTCATTTCAAAATAAACTGTCTACTGGAATACAAAATGCTTAAAGAATAAAGGCAGTTCAAAATATACACAAGAAATATGGGAATAAATTTAAATAGACGAAATGTAAATCTTGTGGCTTTTTCAATTTCATTTGAAATGTATTTAGTCTCTTCACATATTCTTCTATGTCCCGTGTCCAATGGCGGCATCTTTCTTTTCTTAAAATCAATACCATTGCTGAAAAAGGGTTTTCTGTGATGAACACAATTTATTCTGACAAAAGAAATTGCCTTAAAGTTAAAAATGTAGCTAATCTTCTTGTCATAAATTTTATAGGTCTTCCATTGGATCTTTGTAACTGCTGCGATTTAGTTCAAATGTGGTTAAGAAACCATAACACAGCTGATGACACTAGAGGGTCAAAAAGCATCATACTTCTGAAAAGAAATATGATGAGAACAGAATTCCTATCTGGAAATATCTTAATAAATATTTTCTATTGAACTTATCAAAATGTTTTAATTCTTTTTGATACTATAAAGTGATTCATTTCCATTCTCAGATTGAAAAGAAATTAAGCAGAATAGATTCCTAAAGATTACCTACCTTTATAGAATTGATTCCTGGAAATCTGGGATGCCATTATTGGCCATATCCCTTCAGGACATTGGCAAGCATGACTCCTCAATTTTCTGTCCTTTGTATCTCTTAGTAAATTTTATTTTTTTTTGTTATCTCTCCTAAGCCCTATTCTGCTGTCCACTTACACAAGTTCATAAGGTTATGAGCTATTGTCCTTTGCTGCTCTTGCCCTTCATATGTCATGTGTGTGTCGAATTTTCCAAGTCCTCTTTCCTCATTATATGATATGAAAATTTCAACTTTCTTTTTCTGATTATAAGTGTCCTTTTTGTTTCTATTTTCTCTAAATTTGTTGTCACCTATGCATTCAATCATTGATATTCTCAGTATCCTTCTGCAGAACTAGATTTCTCTTGCTTTAATGCTCTTCTTCATCTGTGAGGAGATTGTTCAGCATTCACTGCCATATGAGAGGACTGATATTACATAACAGTTAAATACTCTTTTGTTTTGTTTTTCCAATTTCTTAATACTTTGCTTAGCTCTTGGAAGACTAATTTTGCTCTGCCAATGCGTCTTTGGATTTCACTGTTGTACTTTCCATCCTCTGTTAAAACACTTCCCAGATATTTAAATTGTGATACCTACTTGATTATGGCATCCCCAATTTGTAATTTCCATATTGATCTATTCCTTTTACTGACAACCATACATTCTGTCTTCTTACCATTGATGTTTAGTTCTTTCTTTTCACTTCTCTTTGCTACCTTCTGTAGGAGTTCCTGTAGTTTCCTTTCAGTGTCTGCTATCAACATTGTGTCATCTGAATATCTTATGTTGTTAAGATTATGGCTACCAATAATAAATCCTGGTAGGACTTCTAGTTTGCTGTTCTGTTGGTTTCTAGCTTTAACTATTTCGATTCCCCATGAATAACATTTGTTCAAATACAATGAGGTTCTCATGCCATGAAATTTTGCTGACAGATACAAAACATTTAAAGAAATATAAATTTTCCCTATTTCTGATTTCTTTGAAGTCTTAGCCTTAAAACTAAATGTGATACACACATTCATATATATACAGGGTGCGATAGATAAATTGTCGTCTATTTATGCAAAAATGAAAATAACACTGACATCTCATTTTAACAGATATATTTACCAAAACTATACAAAAATATCTTGAAATAGTAAAGTGTTGATTTATTCAGTAAAATCACCATTGGCTTCAACCATGGCCTCCAGATGACTTCCGAATCTCCTGCAACTTTTTTGGACGGTCTCCTTGTTTAAGTTGGTGAATGCTGCTATAATCCTTGCCTTCAGTTCATTTTGGTGTTACAAAAAGTTTTGTTGGTCTCTCACTCAACTGTGCCCAAACATAATAATCAAGTGGCTTGCAGTCTGGGGAGTTAGGTTGCCAGATATAAAGGGTGATGTGGTTGCAGAAAGTGTCTGATAACCATGACTGGGTTCTCCTGCTTGTGTGGCATGGTGCAGAGTCCTGTTGCCAAGCATAGGGTCTTCCAACAGTCACCCTCTTGACCCAAGGCAGCACTATCTCCTCACGGCACTTGATGTAGGCTTCCATGTTGAGTTTGAGGCCCTGTGGGAAGATGAATAGAGGCATAACATTGCCATCTCTAGTGATTACTCCAAACAGCTTTGTAATTACTATTAGAATCATCTCTTTCTGAATCTTCTGTATAGTTCCCAGACTGACAATGAAACACTCTGCAATGTTCATTTTGGAGCTTCCA